TCTGCTACTACGATCCACAACGCTGCTACTACGATTTTGGCAGCCAGTCAAGAATGTGATTATGACGTCACGTTTTCATATTATGACATCACGATTTCATTCACAGTCAAAGCCTAACCGGTTCAAACTGGATTTTCCGAAAACAATAACAACACAAGACTGACAATAACAGATTTTATTCAGTTTGAATTCTTTTTTATTAAGAACATAATTTTACATAACACTTCATGACAAAAAAAAAAAACAAACAAGAATATCAGAAAACTATTTTCCAAATGTTGTTTTTCGTGTCAGCAGTAAAGGGAATGCGACAATATACATATACTTTATAAATAGGCCTATCTGTAAAAAGTCCTTGAAACCTCTTTTCTTCCCAAAACCTCTTTACTTCCGATTGATGAAAACAATCGGCAAGTGTAATTTTCCAGGAACTCTTCCCTGGTATATCATAAGGTTCAGTCTTGATCTCCAATTGGTATTTTTGATAACCGTAATAACCATTTATTCTCTCCTTCAGACAGTATTGGTCCTCTCTGGTGTCATAATCTTCAGGATCCAATTCCACTCTTTTTACCAACCACACTCTTTTTTGGTATCTGGGATAAATGTTCTATGGCTTTTATAGAAATCCTGGATCGCTTCTTCTTTAGTTTTCATCCAAGCTCCAAAGCTTGATCCATTGACTGACCAACAATACTCCGTTTTCTCTGTCATATTTTTTGTCTGCTCCATTTTACCTGTGTCGAGTTCCAAGTGCTCACGCAGAGTGACCCTCATTGTCCAGCTCTGGTTTATATATACGATTTAGTTTGTTTAGGGTCGTATGCAAAAATAGGTTAGACTCATGTTTTCATCGTACTGTGTACGTCTCTGTACACTCTCTAGTCAGCCACCTTACCTATGCATTGTGACGTCATCTACTGTATAAATACGGTTTTCCTCCGACTTTTCGTTCATTTTACTGTCAAAGCCATCAGCTGTTGGACATGGATTCTACTAGAGAAAAACAGTTACTGGCTCAACGATAATTGAAACGGAAAAAAAGGGAGAGAGAATTAGATCCACCACCTAAACCTAAGCCGATTTCTGAGTATTATCAGATGAGACTGAATAGAGAAATGCAATCTTCAAAATTTAAAGTTCGGGAAAATAAATATATCGTCCATTTCAAAGAATTTCCAGAAGAGGAAAACACAGGATTCGTTCGTCGATTATTCAGAGACATGTTACAAACTGTCAAATCGGAAATGCAGTGTAATCCTAACGATTACCTCCGCCTGAACCTACGCCACAATTCTTTGGATTCAGATATTTGGTACGAGTTTACGCAATGTAAACATTTGAACGAGGACCTCATTTTAGACAAGACTGAAGCCATTCAACAATCCAAAAAGGAGTTCAAACTGGGTGACGGCTCCCTGGAATTCCATATGTTTCATGTCAAGTATCCACAAGGCAGTGATGGAGACAGAACCAAACATCTACAAGTGAATAAGGAGACTCTCAAGAACAATAAACAATCCATCGTTCGGATCGTCAATCCCCGGGATAAATTTTGTTTAGCTAGAGCCATCGCGGTCACCCGGTTACACAGTCAAAAATCGGAACATCCAGACCCGGAATGTGAAAAACGATGGTCACGTATGCGGAAAGGCGATAAATACTTAGACCAGAAACGAGAAGCAATAGCCCTCATGGAACAGGCCGAGTGTGATATCAATCAAGTTTGTGGACCCCGAGAATGGGAAAAATTACAACAGGTATTAGCTCCGCAATATCGACTGAAAATATTTCAGTTCAAGTCCACTTCTACTAAACTCACCTTAGAGCCTATTTACAAAGTTTACCCAAACGGAACTTGTTTGAACATTTTGTTAGACGACCATCATTACGTTGCCATCATATCCATGCCGGGAGTGACGGGGAACCCCTATTACTGTGATCATTGCGATGTGGGGTACAGTCATGTCACAGACCATCGGTCCCAGTGCCCTCATCGCTGTAAATATTGTTTAGGACAACCTAAGTGTCCCGAAGACGGAAGCCGCATTCAATGCCAGCAATGCCATGGAATTTTTAAGAACAGGACTTGCTACGATAACCATTTAAGACCCCATAGTAAGAAGACAACAACCACTGTCTGCAGTTTAATAGGACTATGCGAGAAGCGTCATTCCTGGATGCCTAAGAAATTATTGCCTCGTCACAAGTGCGGAGAACAGAAACAATGTAAGATCTGTAAGAAAATCGTCGATGCTGATCACCAGTGCTACGTACAACAGAAGCCCAAGAAGAAGAAGAAGGGGAAAGACACATTACAGTTTTACATCTATTTCGATTTCGAATGCACTCAGGAAACCGGCATCCACATCCCTAATCTGTGTGTGGCACACCGCGTCTGTCAACATTGCGGTCACTTACCCATAGACCAGCCCTGTCCTCATTGTCAACACATGGGACCCCGTCAGCACCTATTTAAAGGACCAGACACCTTAAAGAAGTTCATGGGCTGGTTATCACAACCGACTACAGGTACTAAGAATTCCACTTTAGTACACGACGCGGCCATTGTTATCGCCCAAAACTTCAAAAGGATATGCCGGACAGTACATTTTGAATCACCTGGTGCATTCCTCTTGCCTTAAACCTAACGTCATCATGAACGGCAGTAAGATCTTGTACATGGAAATTTGTGGACTGAAATTCATCGACTCTTATAATTTTTTGCCTTTTGCTTTGTCTTAGATGCCCTCTGCTTTCGGATTCACCGAACTCAAGAAAGGATATTTCCCCCACTTTTTTAATACGGAACAGAACCAGAATTACGTAGGACCTTTCCACCGGCAGCATTCTACAATCCGGACGAAATGTCTATCAGTGGACAACAGGCTTTTTTTGAATGGTACGAACAACAGACCGGAAAATTGTTTGATTTCCAGAAGGAGTTTGTAGAGTATTGTGTCTCCGACGTCGACATTTTACGACGATGCTGTGCACAGTTTAGAGCCACCCTCAAGACTTTGGTCAATGTGGACCCTTTCCAGGAATCCATCACGTTTGCCAGTGCTGCCAATTTAGCCTACCGTCGACAATTCATGCCTGAAGACACCATTGCTATCATTCCGAACCTGGGGTATCAACCGGCACGACAATATTCGGCCAAAGCCTGTCGGTGGCTCACCTGGATGAGTCAACAGACGGGATGTCACATACGCCATGCCAGAAACGGGGGCGAAGTCCACATCGGAAATTATACCGTCGACGGATATCAAGAAGCGACTTGCACCGTCTATGAATTTTACGGGTGCTATTGGCACTGATGCCCCACCAGCTATCCGCAGTACAGTTAAGGCAACATTTTTTATAAAAAGTTACCGAAAACGATACAATTAATGTTTAACTATTTTATTTTTCAGCAAGACACTCTAGTTAAAATAGCTTTATGTTATCTTGAAGAGTATGTCCATTGCTATTCACATCGGAATTTTTTTGATCATGTGACCCTCTAAAGTCACGTGGGCTCCGATTTTAGTTCAACAAATGAAATGTTAAATTTAACCAAAAAGTTCAAGGCTAAGGCAAACAAACAAATAACTGCATAATGTTTTAAATTGTCCCTATGTATCTATACTTTCACAGAAGTGATGCACATTCAGTTGGATTTCCGATACATTTAAGTTATTCACCTAAAACAGTCAGTAGTATATGAAAAATAGGGTATTTGCCTAATATCATCGGAAATTATAAATTACCTAAAGGATTACAAAGAAATGAGCATCACTTTTTGAAAACTATACAGTAAAATGAATAATTTAAAATAAAAACCTACTTATTAGATTGTCGCCTTGCCCTTGGACTTTTTGATTAAATATTGACATCTTGGCACAGTCAGTCTAAATATAGTTTTCAAACGCATCGTTGACCCGGCATGGGAGATAACTCTTTAGTACTTGATAAAGTTTGTTTACCTCGTAGATTTTTACTAGGCCTATACTTGCAGACTGCGCTTGGATCTTTTTACTAAATCGAACAGTATGCATAAAACACTGGATATTACTTTCTATTTTGTGACTTCGTTCTCTACACAATGTATGAATTATGTATGTTATAAGACGTCTTTCAGTCCTTCCGCATTTCCTCGAATATGTGTAAACACACATGCAGCTACGTGTAACGTTTGCCGCAGCATGTAATCTAAAACGCCGATTGTTAATAAAAAAGGGAATATTCAATTAAAATAGTTAATTGAAAGCCTCCATCAATAATTGATTCGATAACTATACACCTTTCTGTCACTGCTGTACATACATGTACATGTACACTTTAATATGTACAAATATTTTTTTTTCGCATAAAAGATTCTATCATGGCTTTCTTTCAAACCTTCAACTCCTATGGAATTTAAGTTGTAGGTTTTAAGAAGGAAGGCTTAGTGGAAATAAGAAATATTCCTGTATTTGTTAAAGGGACTACCATTTTTTTTTTCCAAAAAGAGGGGGGGGGGGGTGGTAGATCTAAAAAATGTTGAAAATAAATGTCCCACACTGGACAAAAAATAAATAATCTGCCCAGACCAGTGCTCCCCCTCCTATAAATTATTTTTTTTTAGCTTGTCAGACATTTTCAGTGAAGAGAAAAATAAATAACCTGTCCTTCATCTTACTGGAAATAAATATTAGTAGACCTGTCCTTCATTGACATGAAAAGAAATTAAAAAAAATAATGACCTGGGAAAACTTGCCACCCCACCCCCCCCTCCCTTCAGAATAAAATGGTGGACCCCTTTCCTGTTTTGAATCAATTAGGGGCGCCTTTAATCTCCTTTTCAGTTACTATTATTAAGAAAAACAAATTAACACAGTGTACATGCTGGAAATAAAATCTTCATGGACATTGAGTCATTGACACCCGCCACACAAATATATGCAAGTCAAGATTATCAAATCTTAATAGCCTTTTCAACACCTGTACAGTAAGCACATGTATATGAAAAAGTCAAATCATTTTTTATGAAGAAATTTTATTTCATAAACAGCTTTTCAAATTAAGGTAGACTGTACAAGGAATACTGAGCAGCTGCAAATCATTTCCATCACTTCATGTTCTTGTGGATGAAATCAATTCTGAAAATACATGTATGAGAAAATCAGGACATAATTGTCGCAACATACCATTATTGAGAGTAAATTGGTGTTTAAAATTGAATTAAATTCAGAACAATGCATGGAAACATGCACAAACTATGGATGCATAATTAAATATTTGCAATTCTACTGTTACATTTCATTGTTTGCCTGGAATATTGCATAGTAATTTGTTTTATAGCTAAAATAAATATGGAGCATACCATTTTCCTTACATGATGGATTAACTTGCTGCCTGAATGAATCCATTGGTCCAATTCTTTAGGAATAGCTGCAACACATTATAGATGCTATTGCTATGAGATTACTGAATAAAATACATTGTATAATAAAATCCATTACATTTGACAAAACAATTCATGATATAGTGTATGTTGTACATATTGAATTTATGAAATTCATATTAAAAGATAAATGGAAACAAAGTTGTATTACAAAACTTTTCTGGGAAATTAAAACCTCTGACATTCACAAGAGCAAATAATTAGAATATGAAAAAAACATTCTTTCATCTTTACAAAATGAAAAATAAATATAGGTCATGCACACATGCATGGTTTAAAAAATGTGAAATGCTTTATAAGTGTACATACCCTGTGGAAAAATGGGTGCATTTTGTATTTATTTATTCTTCAAGCCTGGAACTCTTGACTGCTACAATAATAAAAGTATTATATACCATATAATTAAAAAAAAATTATGTATAAATTACAGAAATTAATTGACTTGACATGAAATCAAACTAAAAAAAATAAACATTTTATTCCCCATTAATTTAGAAATTCTATCAATTCAAAACCATAGATCTAAAGTGGAGGTTCTTTGTTTTCAACATAATGATACAGATATTTTTTTTACATTATGTAGCATGTTTGTATGCCAAAAAGACAACATTACATTTTCAGTAAATCATTGTCAACTCATTGACTGCAACAATGACATTTCAAATTTAATTTACTTTAAGTTTGTATTATTGTTGAACCCCCTTGTTACACATGTTGTCTCAAAGAAAATAAGCTAATCGACTCAATATTTAGTACAATTACATTTTTAAATTTCTAGGACCAACTTTATGTGAGCTGTTGGAAAGGGGGGGAGGGGGAGGGCGACACACACTGCACTGCATTAGTTTTGCACTGACTGTAATAATGCATCTAAATAAACACGTACACACTCGCGATCGTTTTTTTCTTCGATGTTAACAAAAGCATATCTACATATTGTACATACATGTGCATACATCCCTGGGCTGAATGCACTGCAGTGATGGATCTAGGGAGCTAGTGCAGATCGTCTCAGTCTTCCGTTATTTTCTGTAATAATGTCCTCATATTCTCGTAATAGGGATATGCAATTCCTTGTCTCATATCTTATCCCTATTTTCTTTAAAGAATGTCTGGTTATAGTATTTAAATCCACTGCATTATCTCAGCTGATGTCGCCACGTTTTTAGATGTAAACTACATTCCGTGTCATCGAGTGCAAGCGCTTGGCTGAAGCCGAATGCAGCCAAACCGCACATAAGAAAGAGAATTATTTTAAAAACATGCTATTCTATATAGGAGAAAATCACTAATAATTATTTATTAAACATGGAAATATTGCCGTTTGTTACAAATTCTTGCAAAGATCGGTAAATAGTTATTTTGAGCTCTATTTCCTTATAAGGATCGATCAGGGCGGAGCAACTGTCATGACGTCAAACCTCATTATGACCACATTACCATATTTTTTCCATGGGTTGCCTTAACCTTACTGCGTCCCAGTTTACAGACCGAAACTCATCCTCACCGGACCCAAATTACTTACCAACATTTACACGAGGAAACCATCAGAAGGACTTTGGCCTTGGAGGACATGGGGTACAGCGTCCGTAGCATCTGGGAGCACGATTTCGATCAGCAAGTGCAAAGAGATGTGAGTTAACAGCATTTTGTACGAGACCTGGACATTCCCGATCCTTTGATCCCTCGAGAAGCCCTGTACGGAGGCCGGACCAATGCAACCCGATTATATTGTGAGGAAGGGGACATGAGATACGTGGAGGTTGGTTCCCAATACCCTTGCGTGTTGAAACACAGACCTTTTCCTGTGGGGCATCCCGAGATCATCACAGGCGAGTTCCAGGACGTGAGAAATTATTTTGGCCTCATTCACTGTCGGGTCTTACCTCCCCAAGGTCTCTATCACCCCGTTTTACCTTATCGGACGGGATGCAAATTATTATTTCTCTCATGTCGCAGGTGTGCCGAACGACAGGACTCTACTTCTCAAGATCGATGTTAACACACTGACCAGGAACGCAGTATCACGGGCACCTGGGTGACGACCGAATTACATAAAGCCCTAGACATGGGATATACCTTAGATCGAATCTACGAAGTGTGGCATTTTAAAGAAAGCAGTCAAGAGTTATTCAGATCCTACATCGATGCCTTCCTCAAGATCAAACAGGAAGCGTCTGGATTTCCCCCCGACTGTAAGACCTCAGAACAAGAACAAGATTACATTCGAGAAGTCTTATACAAAGAAGGATTCATGATGGACATTCTCAGTATCGAGAAGAATCCAGTAAAAAGAACCATTGCTAAACTCTTTTTAAATTGTCTGTGGGGAAAATGTGCTCAACGATTGTTATTACCCAAAACCAGATACTTGGATGAAGAAGAGGAATTACAGCAACTCTTACAAGATTCGACTCTCGACATCAAGGGCATGCAACTCTTAGACAATAAAGAGGACCCCAGAAAGGACAAGATGCTAGTGAATTATCAAAAGAAACAGGAATTCGTCGAAGAATGTCCCTTTGGAAACGTGGTCCTGGCTTGTTTTACCACCGCGCATGCCCGTTTACACCTCTACGAGACTTTACAACCTTTAGGAGATCGGGGCCTTTATTTCGATACGGACAGTATCATTTATCATCATCGGGAAGGGGCCTTTAATCATACCTTGGACCATAGTTTAGGAGAATAGACCGACGAATTAGACGGGGATCACATCACCAAATTCATGTCGGCAGGCCCTAAAAATTATGGTTACCGGACCTCCAAAGGAACTGAGGTTCATAAAGTCAAAGGAATCACTCTCAACCATTGAACTTCCCAGATAGTGTCCCTAGAGACTTTAGAAAAAATGCTGAATGGAGAAATGGAGAAATAGAGGAAGTTACAGTACCTTATCCCAACAAAATCCAGAGGACCCGTGATCATGAGGTCGTGACCAAACCTTTAGAGAAAAAGTATAGAATTGTGTATGATAAGAGACAATTGTTACCCTCTTATATCACTTTACCTTATGGTTATTGATATGTTCAATGTTGACAATGAATTAAAAAAATTGAATTGTTTTGTGCGGTTTTTTTTC